AAAAAGAGGATTGGATTGGCGTATAAAGCACAATGAACTTTTTTTCTGAAATGAAGTAAAAGGAGATTATCCGGCTTAAATCTAATGATGCGTCAAAACGCGAGACATAGTACAAGAAGACATCGAAACCCTTTCGGTAAGGATGCATTGAAAGGATGCTTCGATTTCTATTAATATAACGGAAAAAATCTTACTTGTAATCAAGGTAGGTATTCACTTTTATGCTATGGAACAATAACATTCTTGAATAACGGCAATCAAGAAACATTGGGATTTCTATAGACATTTGCATGAAATAGCAAATAGTTATATTCTACTTGCGAAGCTGTGACTTTATATTGTATTACATAGTTCTGACAGTAGAGTAATAATGAAGCAAGAAGAAATAGCTATAAAAATTGCAATAGGGTAGGTAGCAGTACTGTGCAAAATCACAGTCTTTCAGAAGCTTTGATGTCATCTTTATTTGTGTTATCCTGGCAGCGAGCTATTGAAATAAAGTGAACATGTTTCTTGAAATTTTACTTGGCTGAATTCTACTTTGCTAAGAGCTAGTCTTTTGTGCAAAATTCCAAAAATTCCATAGATAGAAAATCTGTTTTTTTTTTTCCATTAGAAGTGACTAAAATATGAGAAAGAAGTAAGAACAATTCAAAAAATCATAATAGCTGCGATACAAAGTTTCAAAAATTTCTGATATATGCGCAGGAAACGGTTCATTGTAATCCTGTTAGTCAAGGACAACGGAAAAAACTGAACTTCAGCCTTTGAAGCGCTGCAAATGTGAAAGATTCAAATGAAGTGGAACATGAGATCTCATAATGTATGTTTCACATTGATAAAAGCGGATTGAAAACTCTAATTTCCGCAAGACTTACTTATACGTTACAGTTTACGACTGCATCTTCCTTACCCTCATACTTACGATTTATAAACTAAAATGCGTATGCACTATAATTATAGTCAAAAATGAAACTGAGCCCTACGAAATAAAAAATGCGCTCCAGCTGCAAATTCTGAAATCCGTGGTTTTCGTGTCAAGCACAGTTGTGGAAACCGACTATTTTCTTCAAGTATCCAAAACTTGTCCGAAAAGTCTCCGTTTGAGCTTATAAAATAAAATCTCTCTCTCCCTTTAAACGATAGGAAGGAATAATTACTGGATCGAAAGAA